CTTAAGGTAATTTTTGATTATTTTTTCTTACTGGATGTAAATAGGCACCTGCCACAGATATGAAGTGCTAAGAAAGTTTCAGTCCTATTCCCTTTGGGATGCTTCAGATGGTGAACGCACACACACACACACTCTCTCTCTCTTTCTTGTGGCGAGGACACTTAACATGAAACCTACCTCTTAACAGTTTTTTTTAGTGTACAATACAATATGATCCCTTCACACATGTCAGGATGGATAATAATCGTAAAAAAAGATAAAAAGTATTGGTGGATGTAGAGAAAAATGAACCCTTGTGCACTGTTGGTGGGAGTGCAAACTGGTGCAGCCACTGTGGAAAATGGTATGAAAGTTCTTCAGGACATTAAAAATAGATTACTATATAATCCAGCAATCCCATTTCTGGGTATATATCCAAGGGAATTAGGATAAGGATCTCAAAGAGGGATTAACACTACCATATTCACTGCAGCATTATTTGTAGTAGCAAAGATGTGGAACACCTTAAATGTCCACTGATGGATGAATAGACAAAATGTGTTTTCTTTCCAAAAAAGACATCCAAATATCCAACAGTTAGATGAAAAGGTGCTCATCATCACTAATCGTCAGGAAATGCAACTACAATGTGATATCACCTCACACCTATTAGAATTGCTAGAATCAAAAAGACAGGAAATAATTAGCATTGGCAAGGATGTGGAGAAAAGAGAACTCTCATGCACCGTTGGTGATATGTAAATTGGTGCAACCACTATGGAAAACAATATGGATATTCCTCAAAATTTAAAAATAGAACTACCATATTATCCAGCAATCCCACTTCTCGGTATTTATCCAAAGGAAATGAAATCACTGTCTTAAAAAAATATCTACCACCCCATGTTTACTGCAGCATAATTTATAATATCCAAGACACAGAAACAACCTCAGTGTCCATCAACAGATGAATGGATAAGGAAAATGTGATATATATATATATATATATATGTGTGTGTGTGTGTGTGTGTATATACACATACATACAAAATACATATACATACACACACATATATATACACACACATACAAATACAAACACACAATGGAATATTATTCAGCCATTCCCAAGATAAGGAAATCTCACTGTTTGTTGCAATATGAATGATGTGCATGAAACGTGAAGGCACTGTGATAAGTAAAATAAGTCAGAGAAAGACAAATATTGCATGATATCATGTAAATGTGGAATCTAAAAACCCTGAACTAATAGATACAGAGAACAGATTGGTGGTTGGTAGAGGAGGGAGCAGGTGGTGGGTGAAATGGGTGAAGAGATCCAAAAGGTATAAACTTCCAGTTGTAAGATAAATAAGTCCTGAGGATCTAATGTACAGCATAGTGACTATAGTTAATAATAATCTATTGTATATTTGAAAGTTGCTAAGAGAATAGATCTTAAAAGTTCTCATCACAAGAAAAAAAATTGTAAATGTGTGGTGATGGACATTAACTAAATTTATTGTTGTAATCATTTTGAGATATATATACATCTATATCTCAAATCATTATGTTGTACACCTACAACTAATACAATTTTATATGTCAATTTTATCTCAATTAAAAAAAGAAATTCTATCCTTTTAGTATTCAAACAACTTCTTACATGTATCCTATACACTATTATCTTGTTTATGTCAATCTGCCTGGTTCCTCAGATGACAGAAATCTTTTTCTGCTTCTCAGAAAATTAATTAGGTAGGTGCATATAAAAAATAACAGGTGTTCCTGATTAATATTTACTTTTGTCTTTTTCTTGCAGTATACTGCCTTCTGTATGTGTATCTGATCTCATTTAAATTATTTTACTACTTTAAAATATCCATCTATATGTATTTTCATATACATGTTATTTTTAATTCCTCAAAACAATATGTGAGGCAGTTCTCAACATCATGTCTATTTTATGGATTATAAAGCTGATGCTTACAGAGATTCATGGGATTTATGTGCACAAAGGTAGAAAATATTTAAGGTGTAAAATCTTGATATGTAGGATACTAAAGCCTATGTCTTTTCATTGGCTTCTGATTCTAGGAGTATGGAAGACATAGTGTCATAAAAGCATAGTCTCTCCTTTGAAGGCATGTTAAGTATAATGACAAAAAATTGTTAGGTGTAGAAACCCTATTTCATAGATCTTTGTCTAGCATGAAGCATAGAGCTTTATGCATAGTAAGTGGTGAATTAACATTTAAGAAAATAAATAATCCTTACATTGAAAAGTCAGTTCAAAATGACTCATGAAACGTAGAGTTAGATGAAATAGTGATTCAAGTTTACAGAGCATTCAGCTCTGTGGAATAGTTTGCCCTTATTTTGGTATTATCCACCTGAGGGAACATGGCAGTAAGATTTGGTGGACATTGCAAGATTTTATCCATATTTTGCTGTGGGTGTAAAAGTAGCGAGTATGCCTCTAGCATTGACTTCTTCCTTTAGAGCTTAGGAATGTGAACTGATAACTCCAAGGCTGCTCCCTTTGTGGTATTTGTCATATCAGAGACTGTTCTGATTTCCTTCTTCCCTTTTACAGGAAATTGTAAGCTATTAAATCTTTTGTCTCAAAATATATACAAATATTTATATTTGTACATAACTACTACATTATCATATATTTGTATTTCATGGACAAGGACAGCAGCCTTACAAAAGATTTTGACCAGCTCCTTTCCCGCCCTCCCCCCCCACCCCACCCCCCCCCAACCCACAGCAAAAAGGACAAGATGAGGACAGAAAGTGAGATGAGAGAGCCAGGGAAACCAAGCAGTCCCATTACTATTTTGAATTATGCTACAGGCTGAAAGAAGTAGAATATACTTACAGTAATTTTCTGTTTCCAAAAGAACAGGTGATTATTTTGGAAAAATAAGCAAAGGAAATTAGGACTCTGGTTTATATTTGTGTAGTTGTTGCACTTACTAAAGTTAAGTATTTCTAGTCCATTCACAAGACACTAGCTGAACTAATTTTTCGTCAGACTTATAAAATATTTCCCTAAGAAATTTCTTTTTTTAAAATTTTTAATATTTATTTATTTTTGAGAGAGAGAGCGTGAGCAGGGTAGGGGCAGAGAGAGAGGCAGACACAGAATGAGAAGCAGGTTCTAGGCTTTGAGCCATAAGCACAGAGACTGATGTGGGACTCGAACTCACAAACGGTGAGATCATGACCTGTGAGCTGACATCAAGAGTCAGATGCTTCACAGAGTGTGCCCCTGGATCACAGATTGAACACCTTAATGTAGCCTAATGCTCCTGCAGTTTCCATCAGAATGAGTTTTGTTCCTTTATTAAGATTGTCAGTTTTTTAGGGTGGAGATTATTCCATACTTTCTGGAACACCCCATGGTCCCTAAAACAGTGCAGTCTACATACAGAGTTCTTCTTTCTTGTACTATTATTGATTGATTGACTGAATTAACAGTCCCAGAACACTTTTGGATTCTGAGGGTAGAAAATTGAACAAGACATGATTTTGCCCTTAAAAACCTTAAGTTCAGTGGGAAGAGACAGGTGATCAGAGATAACATGCAATATCAGAGGTAAACTCAAAATACTTTAGAATTATGAGTTTGGTCAGATGTAAAATAGATTGTAGAAATCTGAGAAAGCTTTCAAAGAGGAATTGACATTAGGTTTGGGTTTCGAAAACTGAGTAAGAGTTTACCAGGGAGAACAGGAATGGGGGTTGGAGAAGATGGATACAAGGAGAAAGGAAGGGCAATCCAGGTAGAAACACAGCATGTGTGAAGGTGTGAAATTGTAGAAAGGAGTCAGCGTGTTTGGAGAATGGTAAGAAATTTGGGGTGTCTGAAAAAGAAGACACATGTACTGAAACAGAGGGAATAAAAGTCAAAGAGTTAGAGTTAGTGTGGGAAGATCCCTCTATTCTGAGTGCATGGGTTTAGATTTTATCCCAGGTGGCAGATATCATAGTGGTTACAGTGTGAATTCCAGAATCAAACTGAGTTTGTCTCCAGTGTGGACTTTATTATTTACCTTTTTAAAGATTAAATAAGAGATCATACAGGTAAAGCACTTATACTAGTGTCTTGTGTATCTCCAATAAAAGTTAGCTGCTTTTATAGGTAACCATGGAAGAACATGAATTTTAAAGCATAGAAGTTATACCATTGAATTAATTTTGTTGATGTTACTATTTTATTTTACATACTTTTCTAGAATTGACTGTTGAGAAAACATCCATGATGGCAGGTGGAGAATAGAAGACAAAAAGCAAACAAAAAAAGGGACTTTCTAAGTAGCCTTGGGTAACAGTAATACTAAAGAAAATCTTTTGAATGCCTTCTGTGTGCCACACAGTCTGCTAAGTGTTGTGCTTGCATTATCTCATTTACTTTTCACAGGATTATATAGTAAGGGGAGTGCTATATTATTATCTTCATTTTATAGAAAATAGAGATTAAGGAAGTAAAATGGCACCTCCAGGTCACACTGACTAGTGCCGGAACCAGGTTTTAAGGTCTTTGATTTCAGAATTTTCGCTAAAACATTTTAATATTAGGTTATTGGATATCCCTGGACCTCATTTTCCTCATCTGTACTATGGAAAGGTCATTCTTGGGAGAATTGAGTGCATAACCAATGAGAAGGTACTGCTACAGTGTCTGATGTATAATAATTACAGCAACGGTAGTAACTGATTTGTTACCTGTTTTAGAATGTCTCTATAAGTTGGAACATTAATTTGAAACTGACTTTGGGGAGGAATGAAGAGAAGACTACTGCAGCATTCCTATCATTATGAAACTAGCTGGCTTCATAGTAGAAAGAAAGAACGTTGCTCTTCTGTGGCTCTGAATTTTGTATAACTGTGTGTAGACCTTTTCAACACTCAATTCAGGTTAATATTATTTTGTTTATTTTACTCTTAATTCTGTTTGCACTGGCATAAGCTGTACTTTCTGATATTAAATGAGGATTTAATTAGACACATACATGTTCCTGTGGGACAGGGGTTACTGCTGCATTGCAATTATCTTTTCTGATGTTGTTCCCCCATGGACTATAGATTTGCAAGGGCATTAGTCAAGTCTTGGTCATCTATTTATCTCCAGAGTCCTGTAAGTGCTTGGCTCATGGTAGGTGCTTAATGAGTGAGCATAACACCAAGGAAGAAATCACTGAATTAATGAAAGGCAAAACAATCTTAACACGGACATCACAATTTGGGATTGTTTTTGAAATCTGAGTTCCTGGTGATTATGACATCACTGTTACTAGATTCTCTAAAGGCTCTAGTAGACATTTATTATACCCACTAAAATTAGATGCTGCATCTACTAGGTAAAAATCAGTGACTCAGGTGGTCATGATATCATGATATCATGACATTGCAACAGTAAAAATAACCTCGCACCACCCTCCTCCCTTCAAGCACTGATGGGACACTGTAGATCAGTCTATTTCATTTGATTAGGGAGCTCTTTTTCAAAGAGAGACTGAGAGGCTCAGAATGTCTGTGCCTCACCCCCTTCATGGGATACATCGTGAGTGCTTCAGAATGCAGACGCCAGTGAGCACTCTGATGGAATGGCCCTGCTGAGACAGGAGATAATAACATTCATTGTTGAAGTTTTAGCCATCCCTGAGGTGGACTCTCTCAGTATGAACTCACAGGATAACAGGGTTTAGAGAATTTCCGGTTCTTAGAGCACCTCCCTGTTTAGGACTCTCTTTCACTTCTCCTGCAATCAGGAGGTCTCTGATCTGAAACACACTTAGACTGTCCACTGTGAAAATATGAAAAGATGACAAGTTATGCTAGATTCAGATGGAAAGAAAAAATAAATTCACATAAAAGGAAAACAACATAATATTGCAGGAAGCTAGTGTGCTATGGATGCATATAATGTTCTTAGTCTTTTCCAAATGTGGGGGTGGAGGGAAAAGGGGGGAGTGACGGACTATCTCTAAGGCCCTGTCATTGTTTCAGGGAAGATAATAGTGTTCAGCTCTAGGGCTACATGTACTGTAAAACTCTTTCCCTGCTGGTTACTTGGCTCTGGAAGAAGAGTTCAGGCATGAATTCACCAGGTCCTGTCCTGTTCATAGCTTCAACATAGAAAACATAGGCAAATAAGGTGCAGGGACACACTCCTCTGGTTTTCTGTGGTGGTTTGAGCTTCCCTCAGCACCCCCCTGCCAGGGCTGGTTGGTTGGTTATGGCCAGAGATCCAGCCCAGATCTTTGCAGAGTGAGTGTGCTTGACTGTGACCCTGGGAAGCAATTGGGGGAAGGAGTGGGAGCAGACAAGAAAAAGGACCTCATCAGTGGATGTTAAAAGTATCTGTAAAAGTTGATTAGGTTTTCTTTCCCAGCCCTTCCATTCAATTCCAGAGGGAGAAAACTGGGATTAACGATTCTAACCTCTTATTTAGAAACAGTTTACATTGCAGTTGTCTCCTCTCTGATATCTTTTCTCTTAATATTCATTTTAAACTTATTTCTCCTGGGGTGCCCGGGTGGCTCAGTTGGTTAAGCATCTGACTCCTGATTTCTGCTCAGGTCATGATCTCACAGTTTTGTGATGGAGCCCCGTGTTGGGCTCTGGGCTGAGCATGGAGCCTGTTTAAGATTCTCTCCCTCTGCTCCTCCCCTCCTTGCATGTGCATGTGCTCTCTCTCTTTCTCTCAAAGAATAAAAAATAAAAAGGGTTCCTGGGTGGCTCAGTGCATTAAGCATCCAACTCTTAATTTTGGCTCAGGTCATGATATCTTGGTTCATGAACTTGAGCCCTGTATTGGGCTCCGTGCTGACAGTGTGGAACCTACTTAGGATTTCCTTTCTCTCCCTCTCTCTGTCCCTTGCCCCCCACCCTCTCTCTCAAAATAAATAAATGTAAAAAATAAATAAAAGTAAATTAAAAAGATAAACTTATTTCTCCTGGATAAATGTCATTGTGTGTGTATGTGTGTATTTATGTGAACAAATATGAAGTTGGAAAAAAATACTCAATGGTCTTAGACATTTTGGCCTCTCCTTTTATGTGTTTCTAGGCCTTTTCTCTTCCCTAAAGGAAATCTTTTCTAGAACACTGAAGGGCTCCCTCTCCCTCCCATTCACTTTCACTTTCTTCCATCAGTTTTTATTCAATGCTAAAGAAATAGTAAGGAAGAAAAAGTAGGAAGGGAAAACCATTTATTCTCAATGAATTATGCTTATCCGTGGGGCTGAGGTTGGTCATTCCAACAGAACTATCCTTACTGTTGCATGCATTAGTCTCCTATGCCTCACCAGGATGTAATAAGCCCTTGTCATTACCTTGGCTATATCCAAACAAGTGAGGAAACAAAGGTAACTATTATCTTGCTATTATAGAGAAACTCGGACTATTCTCAGTGTATACATGTTGAATTGCTATCTCTGTAGATCTGGACCTGATCCAGGAAGGCTTGGTCCAGTTGATCTGGAGTCCCCTTACCCTCTGTGTCCCATTGTCCGCTGTCTCCTTCTTACCATTCTCAATCAAGACAGTCTTAAGCAAATCTAACCACTGGGCTGATCAGATGTGAGAGTTCTAAGCATTGACCAAACACTCCCAAGAACAATGCATGGCAGAATTGAGGCCTGATGTTTGCTGGGAATAGCTGCATATCACATCCTAGACAAATGGATTATTCCAAAATATCAGTTTATGGGCTGGCTAAATTGAAACGACCTAGGAAACTTGTGACACTGCAGATTCTGTCTTAGTATGTTTGGTAGGGAGCCACATTTGGGAAGTCCCGTCCTAGACAATTGCTTCAAATCAGAAGTCACTCTGATTCTACATTCTGTAGCAATGTAACACATTCGATACAGTCATTTTCACCTTGTCCAGCTAACTCCAGTGCTGTTTGATTGATTTTCAAGGACAGGAATTATGGCACTTTGTCATATCTGAATGGAAGGAAACCAGTAGGCCCGATAGCAGTCTGTTGAGTTACTCCCACAGAATGATCTATTGAGGGTTATCTTTCAAACACACTGAGATCCAAACCTGGCTCTATAAAGGCTTCATGGGTATAAGGGCATCAAATACACTAATGTGCACCATATATGCCTATACAGATATACATGCTCTCATTGCTTTGTCTGGGAGCCAGGGACAAAGTGGGCCAGCCTCTCATCCAGGGCTGCTTTAAATGATTGGTCAGACTATGCTGCACAGTTTGGCATACCATTTTCACAGACTGCAACATGAATTACACCCCCAGAAGTTGTGCAATGCGGTCATCCTTGGAGAAAGTTAGACATCATTTTGAAAACCGGAGGGAGCCAACTACTGAGGAAGCAAATACAATGCTTGGGTGAAAGTTCAACAGGATTCAACAGGATTATCTTCTTGCTGTGCAGCTGGATCTCAGGCTCTGCTCTCAGCACGTGCACACACATGTACACACTGCACTTTCTGCACTTTCCCTTTACTTTAGCCCAGGCTGATTTGTAAGAGCTTCCCTTCCACAGTTTTGTACCACAGGTGGATGGGGAAATGGCACAACAAATTAGACGTGGAGAGTTAGTTCACGGTGATTGATTCCCCAGCTCAAGGCTGCTCCAGCATTCTGTACTCGTTTAATGCCAATCTTGACAGTATTTCTCTCCGGAGTCCTTTTCTTAAAACCCAGTCCCATGCAATAAAGCACGTTCATTTCATGCAACACAGCATAGTTGATGCTTATAGTTCTAAACAACCCAGATTACTGGGCACTGCTCAGTTGGGGGTACCTGGTATGAGGGAACATGCACAGCGCAGCAACAGGGGGTGTTTGCCACTGAACACAGAGAAATAAAGGAGCTGCAAAGCTATGGTAGCCAGAGGAGGACTAGCTTTCCTGATTTCAGTTCATGAAAAGCCTCTTGACTCTACACCTTGCTAGTTTGGCCTTGGCATTTGCCCTTGGCTGTCAGATGATGTTCCACTGAAAATAAGTCAGATTAATCCCCTGGTTTGTCTGGGATCAGGGCTGGAATCTTCCCTCATTGAAGCCCTTCCCTCAGAACCAGTCCTAGGCTTTTGCATTTGTTTTGACAAACGATCCGATACTCCTGAAACATGAATTTCCTCCAATCTCTTCCACTTTGCAAACTCCAGAAGCATTTGACCAAGAAGTTGAAATCCATGGGAGAGCTGTGAGCTAAGGCTTCAGACATGCAAAGCACACAACCCTGGGAGACAGCAGCATCCGGGACAGGAGGCTCCCATCACTTCACACGAGGATGGCATGGGTTTTGCAAATCAAACACACACACAGAAAACCAATGGTGGCCCAGGCTGGACACACTGCATGGGGTGCACGGTGGAGTGAGGACCTAGACCAGGGAGCCACCTGTTCCTGTAGCTTGCGTACATGTAGTTCACACCGCCTTGGGCCACTCACGGTTTGCTTACCTGCTCATGGTTGCTCTCCCACCATTGCCCACACTCCCTTTGGGGGTGAAACACTCTATTTCCGACTTGTGCTGGGCCAGTCTCCTGTCTTTGTACCTGGTAAGCATGAACAAGGACAGGAGCAAACAGAAAGATATGATTGTGTGCTTCACTGGCCAGGCTGAGGGACAGCTGTGGCTGCAGAGGGTTGTCCTGTGTTAAAACAGGCGTCTGCTTTTCATGGCAGTGGCTGACCTGTAATACTTATTGGATGCTTGTGATGGTATATGCATCACATCAGGGTTACTTCTTGTTAAACCACACACGATCTACCCTTCCAGATTGCCTATTAATTTGTGATTTCATCACATTCAATAGTCAAAGGCAAAAGGAGTGCAATTCCTAGCCTCTGAGAAAAAGATTCATATCAATAAATTAGAATTTGTTTAGTGTTTACTATGCACCAGACATGGGGCTAGGATTTTCGCTGAATTTAATCTTGGCAACAACCTTATGGCAGAAGCTCTGTTATTATTATATCTACTCTACTGAAGGAAAGAAACCTAAGATTTTAAGGATTAAGTAGAGTGATCAAGGATTTTGAACATGGGAGGTCCAAGTTTAGAACCCACACTTTTAGTCATTGTAAAGTAATGTTGCCTTCCATTATGATTTTGTTTTTAATCATTCTGGGGTGCCTGGGTGGCTCAGTCGGTTGGATGTCTTGATTTCAGTTCAGGTCATGATCCCAGTGTTGTGGGATTGAGTCCTGTGTTGGGCTCAGCGCTGACAGAGCCTGCTTGGGATTCTCTCTCCTCTTCTCTCTCTGCCCCTCCCCCACTTATGCCAGTGCACATACTCCCGCCCTGTCAAAATAAATAAACATTACAAAAATAAATAAAATAAATTGCTCTTATCATTAACAAAGCTTCATTGAGTGGTATTATGTTTGAGCATTATAGGAGAGACTGGTGATGCCAAGAGAAGAGATATTTCTTGGATGTAAGAGGTTTATATAAACATTAAGCTGAAGCTGAACAGTCAGTACCGGGCTGCCTACATTGTGGAAGACAGCTCAAACCCCTTTTGTATCAGAAGTGGCATATCACCACATCTGGAAGGTACTAGATGTTTTGTCTAAAATGAGTTATAAGGTTCCCAGTGTTAGTCTGCTACATGGTGAATCAAGAAGAACCTTCATATTTGAATGACCGTTTTCAAAGCCAACATGCTCTCACAGAAGTCATCTTTTTTTATACATCGTTTTAAGCCTGTGGCTAATTAAAGAGGGTACTGTTGTGTTCACTGCCACAGGAGGACACTGCCACTTACTTAACTGACTTGACCAAAGTCACAAGCCTCATTGGTAGAGAATGACTGCTGGTAGACCTTGCAGCAGCCCAAGACTCTTAAGGTTTATTGCCTTTTTTCTCTCAAACTGGAGCCTAATATGATATCACTTCATCCAAGTCCCTGGTATTCAACAGGCCGTGATAAAATGACCTAGTATCAGAAGACTTGCTTACCCTTGGTAATGTCATTTTTGCCACAAGTTTCTTTTCTTGCTGCCTCAAAATTAATTAAGAAGTGCAACAAAAGCAAAATCATTATTAGTCCTGGATAGAGGCCTCCCTCTGAATTTTCTTTTCTTCTAAGATGTTAAAAGTATTTAGTATTTGAATAAAAATGGCCTATTAAATCAAGCCAAATGGATAGAATGGATTAGTTTATTCAACAGACATTAGTTGAGCATCCATTTAATTCTAGGCAATGAACTTTGGTCTGGAAACATAGAGATAACTAATCCACAGGTCCTGCCTCACAGAGCTCACAGTGCAGTGGGAGAAGGAAGGGAAGAAGGCAGTATGTTGTTTATCAGTTTCATCCAATGATCATGAGAGAGGGTCTTCTGGAGATTTTTTAAGAACAGTTTTTTTGTTTTTGTTTGTGTTCTTATTTTTACTCTTGGCAAGAAAACACTTGGAAACCATGGTATCTTTTTGCTATGGACAGTTGTCTGGTGTGGTACTTGGCAGTGCTACAACCATGTTGCAGGCTTGAGAGAGTCTAAGCCAACATTCTAAAAAATGGTGGCCTGAAAGATTAGAAGAATGTAGATTTTAGACAATCCAATGACTAAATTAACCTGTTTAAGCTCAGAATTACTTTTTATATGAATCTTATCATGTCAGCCACTTTGAATTAAGTTTTAGATTCTCTGATACTGAAATCCCCCTACCTCTTATTTACTTTTGTTACTTTCTCATACCAAGGCTGAGTCTTAGAATGTCTAAGGTTGTTTATAGCATTTGGTTTGGATATTTGTAAGCTGTCTCTCTCTTTCTCTCTCTCTGTCTTTTTCTGTGTGTGTGTGTGTGTGTGTGTGCGCGCGCGCGCCTGTGTGTGTGTTTATGAAGACCCTAAAGCAAGTTACTAACAAATGCTTTAGTCTTACCTAATCATTTGTCTTCTTTTAAATATTATTCCTTTTTATACACACTATTGTATATGAAAAAGTAGGAGAGTCTTCAAAGAGTTAGATTTGAATAGGTAGAATAAGAGGGAGATAGACTGGGAAAAAACAAAGGATTGTTTTCTCAATAGCCCACATTTAGAGAACACCTAAACAACTGGCTCTTATAACATGGTACAGACTCCACTCCTAATTACTGGAAGCTATGCTAATTATAGCCCTAACCAGTGTGATATGGTGATTTATAAATATATATATTTGGTTATTCAGATGACCAAATATAGATAATATAGATGACTAAATATATGTGAGAATATATATATTTCTTATATATATTTGGTCTTCTTCCACTGTTCCTGGCTCACAGTTCCCAAAACCTTGGAATAAGTGCTAAAAGTCCTAAAGATGCCTTTTGTTATGTTAATAAGGTGATTCCCAAGAGCACTTAAGGACGGGGCTTGGTGGCCAGTGGAGCCAATTATGTGATTAGAGGGTTGGAACTTTCAGTCCCACCCCTTTATCCTCCAAGGAGAGGGGAGGGGCTGGCGACTGAGTTCAATCACCAGTGGTCAATGATATAATCAATCATGCCTTGTAATAAAGCCTCCATAGAAGTCCAAAGGATGGGTTTGGAAAGTTTCTGGGTTGGTGCACACACGGGGCTGCTGGGAGTGTGGTGTGCCTGGAGTGGGCATAGAAGCTCCGTGTCCCTTCCCACATATCTTGCCCTACTCATCTCTTCCATTTGGCTGTTCCTGAGTTATATCCTACAATAAACCGTTGCTCTGGTAAGCAAAATGTTTCTGTGAGTTCTGTGCACCACTCTAGGAAATTATTAGAACCTGAGGAGAGGGTCATGAGAATCTCTGGTTCACAGCCAGTTGGTCAGAAATATAGGTAACAGCCTGACTTGAAGCTGGCTCAGAAATTTAAAGAGGAGGTCCTTAGAACCTCCAGTCTACAGCTCAGACAGAAGCAAAAGCGATAGTCTGGACTCGTGAGTGGCATGAAGAGGAGGGGCAGGAATCTTGTAGGACTGAACCTTTAACCTGTGGAATCTCCAGGTGGATAGTGCCAGAATTGAGTTCAATTATAAGACACCCAGCTGGTCAAGAGAATTGCTTGTTGGTATGGGACTTGCCCACACCAACACATTCACACTGGAATTGGGTCCTTGAACCCAAAATAACTAGTTACTACAGATTTAGTGTTGCATTTTCAAACTGATTACCTAATGGGAACTATCATAAGTCATAGCACTTGTAAGTACTTCCATAAAGCTTTTGGTCACATGTTTGTAGAACTGGCATTGCTGTGCATGTATTTGTCAAAGATTCTCCTCAATTACCTTTCCTGTCACTAGACTAAGAAAGTATCAAGAAAAACAAAATAAAGAATACATAGTTGTGTCCCTATGTGCTCATCCCTTACCTCGTCCAGTTATAGACCCATGTAAAAGTGGTCCTGGCTCTGATGATTTTGGAATTCTCTTCTAGGTGCCATCATATTTGAGGCTAACTTTAGCAAATTTTGGAGCCAGATTTTATTTCTTAGTTTTCCTTTTCCCTCCCTGGCTTTAGACAGAGTTTTGCTTTTGGTTTTTAGTCATTGTTTCTATTTCCCCTCCATACCACCAGAGACCTTTCAAACAGCTTTGGAAATATTCAACTCTTTTCCCATGTTGGTTCCTCAAACACCAGCCTACCCTCAGTTTTGGGGCTCTAGACAAAGTTCAGATCAAACATCTGCCCATAGGTAACATCTTTAGCAATCATCCAAAAACACAGCTTCTAATTTTAAATCTGTATGAGGCAGAGTGCAACCCTTTGCATTTTATTTTCCAGATTTTTTTGATACATTATCTTTAGGACTATCCTAATTTTGGATCATGATAGTCATCAAGTAAGGACAGAAACTATGATATGTGTTTGAATAGCTTTTACACTATTGTAGAAAACTTCCTGTACGATTTGATTCTTTCAGCAAACTAAGTAATTATTATCCTCATCCTTCAGAAGAACCTGTGGCTCAGAAAGCTTCACTGTCTGGCCAAGTCTCCATAAATGGTTAGAGAAACAGGGCGAGAAACCACATGTTTTACCTCCAAACATCATGGTTTTTATTAACACCTCACTTCTTAAATTCATTTTATGCTAAAAAAAAAAAACTTATTTCAATTATCAGATAACCTATTTGAGGGACTGAAAATACCATACATGAAGGGAATAGTGTGTACTTTAACACAGCTGGACTTTGGGCACAATATAGGCATATTTTTTTCAAAGGTCAAATGTGACTACCCAATGGCCAAGTAGAACAGAGCTCCCTCCAGGCCTCTTGCTAACATGGAAACAGACTGCCATTCCTCTGACTGGAGTTTACCTCAACAGCAATTCACAAAAATCTGAAAGTCAGAGAGGCATTGCTAAGAGTAACTGTCAATCAGTGTTAAAGTATGGGAGACTGTGTGATATCAGAAGACAGGATGAGGTGGTAGACTTTCCAACAACTCTAAAGTGTTCCAAAGACAGCCAAAGGAAGTCCCAAGGCAATCTTTCAGGTTAGATTGCTCAGGGGAGAATTCTAGATGAAGACAGAGGAGAAGTCCTTAAGGATTTTCACTTGAGGGGGGAGTAAGGCCAAA